TGTAACTGTCTGTCATGGTTATGACAGTGTGTGTGTCTCATGGTATGTGTGTCATGTACATGTGTGTGTCTGTCATGGCATGTGTGTGTGTGTCTGTATGTCATGGTGTGTGTAAGTGTATGGGTCTGTATGTCATGGTGTGTGTGTGTCATGGTATGTGTCTGTCGGTCATGGTGTGTGTGTGTGCGTGTCTCATGATGTGTCTGAGTGTGTTTAGGTTACCAGACCCCTTCCGTTTGGAAGGGAATGGTGTTTTTACTCACCTTTCTTTCGCACGCCATGCTGATCTCCTCTCAACTGACCCAGCTTGATGATCTCAGCCAATCTAATGTTGTCCCATATAATTGGCTGCAAAACACTGCACCAATCAGTATCTCCTCATTGAGATGCATGGATTTAATGCATCTCTATGGGGAACATTCAGTGCCTCCATGCCTCCATGCAGAGTGTGGAGACGCTGAATGTAGGTGCTGCGCAGGAAACACATCTAGCGACCATCTGAGTGACGGTCACTAGGAAGCAATGTAAACACTGCCTTTTCTCATTTTACAATGAAAAGCCTGCAGGAACATGCTATAGACACCATAACCACTATATTAAGCTGTAGTGGTACTGGTGACTATCGTGTCCCGGAAGCGCCTCTAGTGGCTGTCCGTGAGACAGCTACTAGAGGCTGGATTAACCCTCAGTGAAACATATGTTTTCAGCTGCAGGGTTAAAACTAGAGGGACCTGGCACCCTGACCACTTCATTAAGCTGAAGTGATCTGAGTGCCTATAGTGGTCCTTTAAGTTTATGTGTATCTGCATGCACTGGCGTACACACCACGGTCGCAGGGGTCACAGCCCTGTGACCAGGTGCCCGCCGCCATGTGTTGCAGCCCTGGCCCACGTAGAGTAAGCGCCGAGTGGGGGGGCCCACGGATCAATTTTCACACTGGGGCCCCATGCATCGTGTGTACGCCACTGTGTGGGAGTCATGACTGTGTGGCTCTAATAAAGCCATTCTGGGTCTTGGGCTGCGTGCGAATAATGACTGTGAGCAACGCACAAAGAAGGGGGAGTATAGTAGTGTGTGTGTGTATATATATATATATATATATATATATATTATACACACATACACACACACACACACGTCACACTGCCACATGCTGACAAGAGACATAAAAGCAGCAAGATAATTTGGACATTTTACATTCACCAATACATTAACTATTTTATAGTCAGCCAGTCCACACAAGCTTTTTTTCTCCTGCCTCTCTCCTATGGGCCTATTCAAAGTGGCATCCATCTGCAGCTCTATTAACCCCCTGAAGGCTGGCACATAGAAGGGGTGATTCAGTTTTTACATGGTTGCAGTGATAGTAGCCCTGAAAACAGTTACAGATAAATCATTGTTTATTTCCATTAATAAATATTGGGATCTGTCTAAGCTGGTATAGGAGTCCGAGCATCAGAATGGAAGTCTCTGGATTAATCTGCTGTCTGGAAAAGTGAGCTCCTTTACACCAAAATAGCTCTTGAATGATGGTAACTTACTCTTTAGTAGGGATCGACCGATTATCGATCTGGCTGATATTATCGGCCGATATTCAGTATTTTCGTCAATATCGGTATCAGCCAATAAAGATACCGATATTGCCGATAATACATACCAGGACCGCCGGGCTTGTAATGGGGGGCTCAGCAAGCTCTTACTTACCTTCCAAGCAGCTCCCTTCAGTTCCCCTGTGTAAATCTTGCGAGCCCCGCGGCCATCAGAGCGTTGCCACGGGTTACCATGGCAACGCTCTGCGCGGCACACAGGCCATAAAATTTACACAAGGGAGCTGCTGGGAATGTAAGCAAGAGCTTGCTGCGGGTCCCCACTGCACCGTCCATGCCACTGGGCCACCAGGGAATGCTATATCCCCCCCTACCTGGCCAGGTAACAAGCAGGGGAGGAGGACAACATTTTTTTAAATTTTTCTTTTTTAAATTCACATGAAAAAATGCCCCCCATCCCCTCCCTTTTTACACAAATTACATACCTACAGAAACACACACACACACACTAAACAAACGCTCTGCATTCACTTTACACACTACATTATATACACACACACTACAAAAACACTGCATTCATTATATACACACACACTACACAAACACACAGACACATACTACATTCACTTTAAGCGCACACACTCTGCATTCATTATATACACACTACACACACAGCTCCCCTGTCTGCATCCACATGTATATTTTGTGCATTTACCTTTAGAAATTATGTTTTTTTAAAATGGTAAATGTACAGAATATCTGTAAATTATCGGCTATCGGCCTGAAAGTTTACAGATTATCGGTTTCGGCTCTACAAAATCAATATTGGTCGATCCCTACTCTTTAGTCTATATATCAATCCATCCCAATTAGCTCTAGCCATTTTACTTACAAACTACGATCTCATTAACTAACATTATAATAATGTCCCATATATGATATGGCACCAAGTAAAGGTCTACTCTAGATCAGGCTTCCCCAAACTCCGGCCCTCCAGATGTTACCTAACTACAACTCCCATGATTCTATGAATAAAATAGATAGGCTGAGAATCATGGGAGTTGTAGTTCAGCAACATCTGGAGGGCCTGAGTTTGGGGAAGCCTGCTCTAGATTGACTCTGCTCTGCTTCATGTAGAAAACAATAGATCTTATCTGATTATGTTACTATTAGAGTACATTTATACCAAGCACACAGAGAACATGCATAAACATTTATTACAATTTAATGTTACATAAAGACAGCACTAAATTAAATGAAACACCAGCTCACTATATCTGATACATTCTATGTGATACAACTAGACACAAACACAAAAGATACATAAACACATATACAAATATCTGAATGTATTCATCATTTTAAACACATAGTACGTACCTTTAATAAGAAGATATTAGAATCTGCTAACCAGGTGTACGGAATACAAGTCTTATCTGGTCAAATCCAGATTGGTTTTGCCGCCTAAAAGGGGCGTATCAAAGGGGCAAATAACATATTCTCTTTGGTAGGGGCTAGTTCCTGTCCAGTAGGCGGACCCTGGTGACATCACCAGACCATGTGACTGCTTGGTCACATGGTACAGAGAGCTACAGGAAGCAGCAAAGCAAATGAATGGGATGGACTGAGCTCTGCAGATCTGCTGCTGCTGCTGGTGGGAGAGTTCTGATGGAACGTTGATATTAACGTTACAAAGTATCTCATTATACAGGACAGCCTGGGAGCTGGAGGTTTGCAATGTTTGCCATGCACTGTATGGGAATCCTTTGTAAAGCTGGACACTGCAGCCATTACACAGACTGAACATGGAGAATGAAGGGAAGTCACTCTTATTTTATATTTATATAGTTTTATATTATTATTTTTTTTTGCCAGTTAATTATGCAGTTATGTTAAAACCTGTATTTCAAATCTCTTTTTTTGTCTTTAATTGTAGATATTAATCACTGTCCAACTGTTTTACAGAATACATTGATTATAATGGGACTTATATTTTTGTCTTTCTTTCTCTCTCCCAACTCTCTCTGACAGCATGATATATTGACCCTTTTATCCCCACTGACAATCAGTGTCTCTCTCCCATCCCCTCAGTATGTCTCTCTCCCATCTCCTCAGTATGTCTCTCTCCCATCCCCTCGGTGTGTCTCTCTCTCCCATCCCCTCGGTGTGTCTCTCTCTCCCATCCCCTCGGTGTGTCTCTCTCTCCCATCCCCTCGGTGTGTCTCTCTCTCCCATCCCCTCGGTGTGAGTGTCTCTCTCTCCCATCCCCTCGGTGTGAGTGTCTCTCTCTCCCATCCCCTCGGTGTGAGTGTCTCTCTCTCCCATCCCCTCGGTGTGAGTGTCTCTCTTTTTCTCCCATCCCCTCGGTGTGAGTGTCTCTCTTTTTCTCCCATCCCCTCGGTGTGAGTGTCTCTCTTTTTCTCCCATCCCCTCGGTGTGAGTGTCTCTCTCTCCCATCCCCTCGGTGTGAGTGTCTCTCTTTTTCTCCCATCCCCTCGGTGTGAGTGTCTCTCTTTTTCTCCCATCCCCTCGGTGTGAGTGTCTCTCTTTTTCTCCCATCCCCTCGGTGTGAGTGTCTCTCTTTTTCTCCCATCCCCTCGGTGTGAGTGTCTCTCTTTTTCTCCCATCCCCTCGGTGTGAGTGTCTCTCTTTTTCTCCCATCCCCTCGGTGTGAGTGGGTCTCTTTTTCTCCCATCCCCTCGGTGTGAGTGGGTCTCTTTTTCTCCCATCCCCTCGGTGTGAGTGGGTCTCTTTTTCTCCCATCCCCTCGGTGTGAGTGGGTGTCTCTGTCTCCCTCCCATCCCCTCGGTGTGAGTGGGTGTCTCTCTCTCCCTCCCATCCCCTCGGTGTGAGTGTGTAAGTGTTGCCATGGCAACACTCCCGACTTGCATTACATGTTATGTGTAGCATTGCCATGGCAACCTGCAGCAACGCTCACACAGTTCGCGAGAAGAGAGGATCTGGTGTTACAGGAGGTGCAATATTACACTCCTGGGTCCCTTCTTCACAGGACACTGTATGCTGTGCGACCGGACCACCAGGGAATCCTGTGTGCCACCCACCCTGAAACAGGTAAGAGGAAAAAAAACAACCTAAATTTAATAAAAATATTTTAAAAACTACTGTCCCCTCACAGCCCTTATCCAATCCTGCTGCACTACATTCACTACACATAAAGACATTGCATCCACTACCCACACAGACACTGCATCCACTATACACAATGCATTCACTACACACACTGTATAACATAATGGATGTGCGCAAAGCTTTTTTTGGGGGGGAGGGGCTTGGCTTCTTGGGCCGGCCCTGCTCTCTCCCACCCACGCACAGCCAGTGTGTCTCTCTCCCA